ATTAATAGTCTAGACTGTGTCAGGATAAATGAAATATATCCTTACTGCTACCCTATGCCTTATGTGTACAATCTGTGGCATTTGATATTCATATTTACTTACAAGCTCAATAAGCTTAAACACTGTTCTTGCCAATGAATCACTGGACTCAATAACAGGGAAGTTCTAGAATCCTCAGGGAATGGGAGCCATCATAGGTGGTACTTGATATAACTGTTCAAGCACTATAAATTCTTCCCTAACTTTTTACCACATGTATTTCTTTTCTCCCTTCTGCCTCTATTGCCCATTTTTTTCTCTTTTCTGTCCCAATTTCCTTTCTTTCCTGCCCAATCTAGTGAGTTAGCATTTTCAAAGTATGAGATAGAATCTATTAGTCACCTCTGAAATCAATTCAGTAGAATATTTCTGGCTATGAAATTTTTGTTTTAGACTATGACTACCAAGGGTTATGATACACATTTCTTCCTGAGGAACAGCATCAGTTTGTGTCACCTGCCTCCACTTACAAGTCTTAGAGTACAAGAGGCTAAAGAGTGTAGTTAATGGGGGAATGTCTTTCTGTGCGCTGCAATAATGTGTTGCTCTGATTGGTTGATAAATAAAGTCACTTGGCCTATGGCAAGGCAGCTTAGTGGCAGGTGGGAAATTCAAAGAAAGAGACAGGAAGAAGTGGGGGGAGAGACGCCAGCAAGCCACCCAAGGAGCAACATGTAATGGGATGCAGGTAAAGCCATGGAACATGTGGCAATACATAGATTAATAGTTATGGGCTAATTTAAATATAGAACTAGCTAGCAAGAAGCTTGAGCTATGACCATGCAGTTATAATTAATATAAGCCTCTGTGTGTTTACTTGGGGGATGCAAATGGGAAAGATTTGTCCTGACCATCAGCAGTTGGGGACACAGGAAATCTTCCAGCTACATGCAGTATGGAAGAAAACACACTACGATCTTGCTCTTGCTCTTGCTGCGTCATTAAGCAATGATGTTAATCATGATGAAGTTGAGCAATTGCAGTTTATACTTACTGCATTAGTTACTTTTCTCAGTGTGGTGACAAAACATCTGACCAAAGCAATTTCAGGGAGGGAAGGCTTAATTTGACTTACAGTTTTAAGGGATAAAGTCCATCATGACAAGGGAAATCATGCCAGGAGGAAAAGGAGGCAGCTGGTTAGTTTGCATTTAAGGATAAGAAGCAGAGAGTTATAACTACTGATAGCCATCTCTTTTTCTCTTTTATTATTCACTCTAGGAGTCTAGCCCTCAGAATGGAATCACTCACTATTAGAGTGGGTCTCCTCACTGTAAACAACCTCATCTAGAAATTCCCTTATAGATAAGGCCAGAGATTTGTCTCCTAGATAACTCTAGATTTTGTCCATTTCACATTATTTCCCATCATACATGTATAGTTATTTTGAAAAAAAGTGAAAAATGGAATGAAGTTTTTGTTTGAATGGCTGGCATTATATAACAATAACAGGAATCACAAGTTTTTCTACTTCTGATTCCTTTCTTACTAAAATCATTAGATTTTGTTAAATTTCTTCACTTTAGGGAGTGAGTTTAGGAATTCCTCATTTGAAGGTTTCCCTGAATTTATGTGTAGCCCCTGGAAATGATTAAGAGTATTATATGCATCCTGTCTTGATATCATACAGATGGTATTAATAGTTTTACACATGGAGAAACTGAAAGAGGTACAGAACTTCCTATGGATCCATGATGAAGAAGTAATGAGGTGGGAAGTGAGCCCAGATCTTTGAGTTAAAGTACTTAGACATGTGCTTAATTAAAAGAAAAACTGCTTTGGGTGCTGGCACACTATTCAAAAAAGACAAAACCCATGCCAAAATAATTAGAATAATTGAACTGAGTTTTTAAAACATCTATACTTTCAAAAAAAATCAGAAACCAAAGTCTAAAATAACCTTTAAATTTTAATCACTGGTATTAAGGGCATGTCCTCTTTATGTCACATTCCTTTATTTAGTAATTTGTCTGTCCTTTGGAGCTCTTTTGTAAATGTTTGCTTCAAGGGAACAGTTTTCTCTGAAAAAGCAGTAATCTCTCTTAGAATTCATACTCTTCTTTCATTCTGTTTGTTTACCTGATGCTTTCTGGGTCTAGTGGAAAAGATGGAGAAATAGCATTCTCAGGTGAACTATGTACCACACAGTAACTTGTTAGCATTTGCATATCTTAGAAACATGTTTTTTATCCATCGTAGATGAAATTTCTGGTTTTCTTCTAATACTCTGAAATTTATAAAAGTAGAGGCATATTTCATTTTATCTCCCCATTTTCTCACTTGATTTGCAAACAAGGATCTCTAATCCTTCAGTAAAACAAACCATACAATAGGGAGAAAAGCACACAAACATCAAGATACATTCACATTGCTTCTATATAGAAGCATTGATAATAATGTCATTTGTATTAGTAAAAGCACATGTATATCCATGTATATTTTGTATTCCATTTTACTTAGAAACTTTCCACTAAAACAGAAACTTTTTAGAAAAGTCAGTATAAAGTAGTTTTTAAATAAATTGGTACACTTAATTTTTTTCACATGCTTCAATCTCCCTTCTACTATTATTATTTGTACAACAACTCTCACAAAATTTGGTATTGCTCATCATTTAGTGTGTATGTGCACATTCAGAGCACATTTCAAAATGCTATCCATCTACTTGAAAATTTTCTACTGACAAAAAGTATAGTGTATTCTTTTTAATTTTACCTTACTGTCACTGTGGTCCCATGTGGAAAGGCAGGTTGTTAAATGCTTTCTGAAGGCTGGTAAGCATGTGAGAGTTGCTTACAAGGCTAATTAAAATAGATGCACTTCATCCATTACTTAGGCTTGCTAGATCCAAGCAAATATAAGTTTGTTTTTATTACTGGTACTATGTACTTCTCTAAATTTGCAGACTAGTTACAGCTTGTTTGCTTGCTTGCTTGCATGTGTGTGTGCGTGCCTGCGTGCCTGCGTGTGTGTGTGTGTGTGTGTGTGTGTGTGTGTGTGTGTGTGTGTGTATGTGTGTGTGTGTTCCCTTTAACTAGAGACACACCACCCTTCTCAGAATACTCTCCTTTTCTCTGATGGACTGTTTCATTATTTTTACATCTGAATGGTCTCTTAGCTTAACAGTTTGTAGTTGTTTACAGCACCCATTAAATAACTACAAGAAAGAGAGTAAGACAGAAAAGTAACAAAATAACTGCCCTCAATAATAATACAATGTGCACCTACTGCCACTACAATCTTTAGCAAATACCACATTGAAATTTTTATATATATATATACAAGCATAGCATTTAAAAAAGGAATGTGTCCATGTAGCTGAAAACAGCATGTCCACATGCTATGTTCAAAAATATGTAATTCCAAAATTGCTTATATGAATGACATGGAAATTTCAAAATAAACTTTCTTAAAATTGGAATAAGAGGAACATTAATGATCCTTAGATCCAAGAGATAAAATTAGACAATTTAAACTATTACTAAAGTAAATTTTACCTGTTCACAATATAAGATTATCAGTAGTATTCTTTTTTGAAAGCCCAGCATAGTCTTCTTAGGCAACCATTATAAAAAGAAAGTCAAAGAGAAGAGAAAGGAAAAAGCACAAAAGAATTCCAAGAGGCAAGAGTTGGAAGTCAGTGCTGTGTGAACCTGGTTTAAATGTATGGGCAATAACCTTGAAAGCAGATTAACCCTAAAGCAGATTCATTAGCTTCCTAGCTAGCTTTTGCTCTAATATTGCACCTCTCTCCTGGCATAATTTTCTAATTTTGACTTATTTTTCTGCTGTTCTCTACCAACTGTCTGGATATTCTGACAGACTCTGAGAGAGTATATGAAAAAGTCAAGAAGCTATGGGGACTTCATTTAGGGCCGTCTCTTCTAGGATGAGGTGGTCACTGTTTTGGCACCAGAAAATTAACTCCATATTCTTTGATTAGAGGAAGCAATTGCAACTTTATCCAGAATGCTCTGGGAGAATTGAGAAGCAGCTGCAAGGAAGGGTCTACAGGGGAACTGTGGTGCTCCTTGTAAAATCCTCATCACCTTCTTGAACTATACTGACTCTTTGAACGAGTGTCTTCTTTTAATAGAATCAGTTCAGACTACTAATAAAGAGAAGGAAGAAATGAAGGGGGGGAAAGCAAAGGAGAGGGAAAGAAAGAGGGCTGTGACAACCTCCTGAAGCATAAAAATAATCACTGTTAAGGTTGGTCTGGAACAGTGCTAAGTCTTGCTTTTGTTCAAACATTTGCAGGAGTTTTCCTGAGCACTATGTAATATTAAAATATGTTGTTTTCCAACCTGGGAGGAAATCCTTAAATATATGCAAGCAGACTCCAGTGATTGGGTGCTTACTAGTTAAGGGAGGCAGCAGCTAAGTGTCCAACTCAGATTACTCACTGCTTTTTTACTTGTCCATAACTTCCACTGAGAAGTCTTAGGGTCTCCTCAGATATGGTATCAAGCAAGTGTCATTCTTATTTCACTTGCAGCACAAGGTAGAAGCTGCAAGAAGAGCTGGGCAGAGTTCCAGTAAAGGGGGGCCGACAGGCAAGAGCGGTGCTCTGCAGAGCTTGTCAGAGAATTGGAGCAGGCTCCTTTGTGGGCTGGTACATTCCCCCTCCTGAGTGCATAGCAGGGACATTTGATCTGCAGGGTGATTGATAAGTGCAGGAGAGGGGCAGCCATCCTTTTCCCCCTCCCTCTTCTCTACTCTCTCCTTCCCTCCCTCCTTCCTGCCAGAAGCGCTGCTGTGTGGAGAGCAGCTCCAGCAAGGATCTGCCTGTCCTAGGGTGGGGGTGGAGGGCCACCGCCTGCTCTCCTAGCTGCTGAGCCACTGCACAGCCAGCCCAACCATACCCAGGGAGTGCTGGCTCCTGAGCCTCTCGCCGCGGATGCTGCGGGAGCCTCCGCGGAAGATCAAGGCAGCGCACTCTGCTCTCGGTAAGTTCAGAACACTCGGGAATGCTGTGGCAAGGCGACCCATGAGCAAGATTACTTTGGCCCAAAAGTGGGAAGGGCCATGAAGTGGCTAGGCTCTACCCACCGTGGTCAGTCTTTGTGAATCATCCTCTTCCCTCGGTACCCTCTTGTTTTTTGCCCCTGACCTTTTGCGGGTGTGGTAGGGATCCGGGAGTCTCATAGGCAGGTGACCATCGCTGCTGCAAGGGATGACCCATGCAAGATCTTCTGCTAGTAACATGCTCCATTCACTCACAGTGCCCAAGCCCCACGGCAAGGGCAGAATAAGTGGCCTTCGGGGTGGGGGTGGGGGGCCGCGAGGTCACCCTCTCTCTGACATCAAGATGTTAGGATGTATGAAAGATAGGGCTACTCTAGGAGCTGGTGTGTAGTCCCTTTCCTTGCAAAGGGGAACTCCCTTAGAGCCTGGGTGTCACCAGAAGAGAGAATAGCATGGGTCAGACAGGAGGCTGGAGAAGAAGGCTGCCTGGCCTGCTGGACTTCTAAACTGGTTCTGGCCATAAGGATTGCAGGGATGAAGGTGAGCTCTGTGTTGCAGCCTGGCCCCTCCATGATCTGTGGAAAAAGCTTGGGCGACCTGAGTCCAGCTCTAGCTGGTTAGTGACAAAGGAGGATGAGGCAGTGGAGTATGCATTTCAACTTCCTTCTCTTCAAGGAAGAGAACAAGCATTTTGCTTCCTTAAGCATCTGCCCCTTCTACTCTTGGATTTCCCAGTTTACCCCAACCTTTCCAGCTCCTTAAAAGCCCATCATTTTTAGCGGTTCTTAGAGATACACTGGACCAAATGAAACTTATTTAAAAGTGTCCATTGGGTTTGAGGCTCATTCACTTCCAGAAACAATCATGTTTCTGAAAGTGGCTCAGATACAGGCAGAAGATACAGTTGCAGAGTAAATTAACTCTTGCAGAAAGGGAACCATGGAATGAAAACCAGGCACCTCAGGGTCCTTGGTATGGCTCACCACAGCTAGATAACCACCAGATTTCTTTTATTGTGTAATTGGTAAGAATTTCAAGACCCCCAAATCCCTCTCCTCTCCTCTTTCTTCCACTCCCCTCTCCTCTCTTCCCCTCTCCCCCTCTCCTCTCTTTCTCTTTCATTTCTAGCAAAACAATCCTGGTCTTCAAAGAGTCTATAGAGCATTATCTATGTCTTGAAGATTTTACTGTATTTGAAAACTAAAACTAGTGATATTTATTATAGCAGTAAAATTGAGCATATTCCTGTAAAATGTCCCACTAAGTTTAGGTATGCAATTCTCTAATTCATATTAAGCAGTATTGGGCTCTGAAGAATACACTGTTACTCGGAATCCCTCAGTTCTGTTTCTAATTTTAGTTTCTTGAAGTTAACCAAGTCAGCAGGTCACCTTGTCAAGGAAGGTACTGATCTGTAAAATAATCCTGGTTTGTTAGGTTTTGTACAGCTTTTACGTTAGCTTTTACGTCAGTGAAATATCAACCAAATTAGTAAATGTTTGTTAAATCAAAGGCTGAGTGAATAAATCATATCTCCCTAGGAACAATATTTAGAAATACATAGAAAAGTTTCCCTTTCTTATGAAAGGAGCCTAATTTTGCTCATAAGGAATCACTCTGCCTGAATGTAATGATCCACCTGCAACAGAATGGGAGGCTATCCACAACTGCATTCCCCACTCCCAGGACTGCTATGCTAGCCCCATGGTTGCCCTATGGCCCAGGGAAGGAAAATTAAGGTCCCAGAGTGAATAAATCTTGCTAAAGGCCAAAGAGCATGAAGAGAGATCTTGAAGCATAGTCAAAGGCTTTTCCTGAAAGGAAGAAGAGGGAAGACAGAAAGCCACACAGAATGAGGCAGGAGATCACAGTGCCACAGGTGGCCTTATTGCTGAAGTTTATAAACTACCCCAATCATTCTCAGGGAGGAACTTGTATAAGCTACACTCTTAAGACTTTCACTTAATAGGGAGACAAAAGGAGTAAAACAGGTGGGTTTCCATCCTCAGATCATTTATTTTGCCTGTGCCATTGCCTACCTTACATTCTGGCTAGGTAATGAGACTCTGGGTGAACTCTGCAGCAGATCTGAAAAGGCAGAGAAAGAAAGGTGAATTGTTTTGTGGAATAGACACATTCAATCAGTCCCTTTCATCACTGTTATTCTGGGTCCCAGCTCATGATTTCTTTTACCCCTTTCTTCATCAGGAGTCAGTTCTCTGGCCCTGCATTCTTCCCTGCTTTTTGGTTTTGGTTTTGGTTTTGGTGTTTGTTTGTTTGTTTTTGTTTTTTGTGGGAGGGTGAGGTAGGGGTTCCCTGTCTCAGCAGCCTAGAGGGCTCAACAACTCTTGCCTTGGCTCCCACTCCTAGCTGAGTCTCAGCCTGGCAATACTTTTCTGACACCCACTCCACTTCACTTTCCTCCAGGCAAAAAGCACACGTTTAAGCTTCATTATCTGGCTAAGTATAAACCTCAGGGGGAGAAGCATTTTATTTTTGTTTGGCTCAGTCTGTCAGTTAATGTTGAGCTAGCTGGCTTTCCAGAGTCCAGGCAAATAGCGGTTTGGCTGGTCACCACCAAGAATGTAATTCCCTAAGCACTGAAACAGAGCTCTGTATGTAAAGTATTGATCCCCTAGGAGAACTCTTCTCACTCCTCCTACACAGACACACTAGAGCAGGAACACTCCCCTTTGCACCAAAAGCATTCAGCTAGCAGTCTGTCTAGCTGGCATCAGTCCTGTAGCAAGAGGTACCACACACATACACACATTTAAGTTCCTGGGCAGGTCTGGATCCTGCCTTGGGAATTGGCATGAGATCAGTCTTAATGGTCAGGTCACTGTCCTTATGCAATATGTAGGCAAGGAAGGGCAAGTGAAAGAGATCACTCAGACTGGTTTGGATTAGGAGAGTTTCAGTAAGGCCACCACTAACCAGAGCTGGCCTGCCTGCTTGAGAAACAAACTCCTGTTCAGAAGGAGCTTCTCTTGCCGCCAGCCTGGCTGGAGATAGACTAATTCTGAAACAACTGACGCAGCTGGGAATTGAGCTGTGCAGAGCCACTCACTGGGAAGGGAAGCGTCTGCCCCACCCTCCCCCACCAAGCGCCCTGGATATTCTGCCCACATTCCTCTCTCCCGTGACGTGACGTCACCCCTAGTCCTGTCCTGGGGAGCCTGCAAAACCTCTCAAATTCAAACTGCTAGACGCACTGCTGCTGCTGCCGCCACTGGACTGAAAGCGCGCGCCCAGGCTCCGCTGTGGCAATCGCGGAAGCTACCCAGTCCACAAGACCTCCCTATGCAACCACATCCCCGGTTCCCTGCAGCGCAGCTCCTTTTTGCTCCAATCCTCCTCTTCCTCTCTGGCTGTCAGCGGGTTTCTGCGCACCCGCCCCCCATCAAATTAAATCAAGCAACAAAAAGCAGAGCAGCCCCCTGCAAGCGGCATCTCCTTTTACTTTGCTCTCCCTCTCTTCACGAAGATGCTAAACAACTGGTGGACTGAAGAGGAGGGGTGTCCTATCTTGTGATGTGTGAGTACCCCCAACCCAGAGCAATCTTTGCCCTCCCATTCTATTCCCTCCACCAGTCCCCTGACTCTTAATTTTCCCACCCCCCTCTTTTAATGCAGTTTAAAAATAAAAGTAAAGCAATTTCTGCTGCAAGCCCAAGACGGGCAATCTGCCTGATATTTCTTCAAAATACCCCAGGGGAAGAGGAGATGGGCCGGATTTAGTGGGACAACTGGATTGATTACTAATGACTCTGTGGCTGGCTGTGACCAACCGGGAAATCAGGTGCAAGCATGTGTGTTCCAGGACTTGTTGTGTGGGTGGGCTTGGGGGAGTGGGTAGATAAAAAGAGTAGAAACTGCCTTGAAATACGCAATGATTTCATTCTTCCTTGCTACCCACCCCCTCACTCTCCCCCCTCCCACCCGCCTCCTGGCTTTGCCATTTTAATGGAGCTTCCTTGTTTCTTTCTTCCCTGCATCCTGCTTTCTTCCCCTGTCCCTCACTCAAGGTTTGCCTGTAGGTACCTGAGCTGACATCGAAGGTGCCTAAAGATGCTGAGCAGCATTTGGTTCCTCAGTGTGTTAACGGTGGCTGGGATCTTACAGATAGAGAGCCGCAAAACTGCCAAAGACATTTGCAAGATCCGTTGCCTGTGCGAAGAGAAGGAAAATGTACTGAATATTAACTGTGAAAACAAAGGATTTACAACTGTCAGCTTGCTCCAACCTCCCCAGTATCGAATCTATCAGCTGTTTCTCAACGGAAACCTCTTGACCAGACTGTATCCAAACGAATTTGTCAATTACTCAAATGCAGTGACTCTTCATCTAGGTAACAATGGGTTGCAGGAGATCCGACCTGGGGCATTTAGCGGTCTGAAGACTCTGAAGAGACTGCACCTCAATAACAACAAACTGGAGATATTGAGAGAGGACACTTTTCTAGGCCTAGAGAGCCTGGAGTACCTGCAAGCTGATTACAATTACATCAGCACCATTGAGGCAGGGGCATTTAGCAAACTGAATAAGCTCAAAGTGCTCATCTTGAATGACAACCTTTTGCTGTCTCTGCCTAGTAATGTGTTTCGGTTTGTCCTGCTAACTCACTTAGACCTGAGGGGAAACAGGTTGAAAGTAATGCCTTTTGCTGGTGTCCTTGAACATATTGGAGGAATCATGGAAATTCAGCTGGAAGAAAACCCATGGAATTGCACCTGTGACCTACTTCCTCTCAAGGCATGGCTGGACACCATTACTGTTTTTGTGGGGGAGATTGTCTGTGAAACTCCTTTCAGGTTACATGGGAAAGATGTGACCCAACTGACCAGACAAGACCTCTGTCCCAGAAAAAGTGCAAGTGGTGATTCTAGTCAGAGGAGCAGTCATTCAGACACTCACGTCCAAAGGCTGTCCCCCACAGTGAATCCTGCTCTTAATCCAACCAAGGCCCCAAAAGCAAGCCGGCCACCCAAAATGAGAAATCGTCCAACTCCACGAGTGACTGTGTCAAAAGACCGGCAGAGCTTTGGCCCGATCATGGTGTACCAGACCAAGTCCCCTGTGGCCCTCACCTGTCCCAGCAGCTGTGTGTGTACCTCTCAGAGCTCAGACAATGGTTTAAATGTTAACTGCCAAGAAAGGAAGTTCACTAACATCTCTGATCTGCAGCCCAAACCTACTAGTCCAAAGAAACTCTACCTAACAGGCAACTATCTCCAAACAATATATAAGAATGACCTCTTAGAATACAGTTCACTGGATTTATTGCATTTAGGAAACAACAGAATTGCAGTCATTCAGGAAGGTGCCTTTACAAACCTGACCAGTTTACGCAGACTTTATCTAAATGGCAATTACCTTGAAGTGCTGTATCCTTCTATGTTTGATGGACTGCAGAGCTTGCAGTATCTCTATTTAGAGTATAATGTCATTAAGGAGATTAAACCACTGACCTTTGATGCTTTAATTAACCTCCAGCTCCTGTTTCTGAATAACAACCTGCTGCGGTCGTTACCTGATAATATATTTGGGGGCACAGCCCTCACCAGGCTGAATCTGAGAAATAATCATTTTTCACACCTGCCTGTGAAAGGGGTTCTGGATCAGCTTCCTGCTTTTGTTCAGATAGATCTTCAAGAGAACCCATGGGATTGTACCTGTGACATCATGGGGCTAAAGGACTGGACTGAACATGCCAATTCTCCTGTCATCATCAATGAGGTGACTTGTGAATCTCCCGCTAAGCATGCAGGGGAGATACTGAAATTCCTGGGAAGGGAGGCTATTTGTCCAGATAATCCTAACTTGTCTGATGGGACAATTTTATCAATGAATCACAACACAGACACACCTAGTTCACTTAGTGTGTCTCCTAGTTCTTACCCTGAACTACACACTGAAGTTCCACTTTCTGTCTTAATTTTAGGATTGCTTGTTGTTTTTATCCTGTCTGTCTGTTTTGGGGCGGGGTTATTCGTCTTTGTTCTGAAACGTCGAAAGGGAGTGCCAACTGTTCCCAGGAGTGCCAACAATTTAGATGTAAGTTCTTTCCAGTTACAATATGGGTCTTACAATACCGAAACAAATGATAAAGCTGATGGTCATGTCTATAATTACATCCCCCCACCTGTGGGTCAGATGTGCCAAAACCCCATCTACATGCAAAAAGAAGGAGACCCAGTAGCCTATTACAGAAACCTGCAGGACTTCAGCTATAGCAACCTGGAGGAGAAAAAAGAAGAGCCAGCAACACTTGCTTACACAATAAGTGCCACTGAGTTGCTAGAAAAGCAGGCCACACCAAGAGAGCCTGAGCTGCTGTATCAGAATATTGCTGAGCGAGTTAAGGAACTCCCCAGTGCAGGCCTAGTCCACTATAACTTTTGTACCTTACCTAAAAGGCAGTTTGCCCCTTCATATGAATCTCGACGCCAAAACCAAGACAGAATCAATAAAACCGTTTTATATGGGACTCCCAGAAAATGCTTTGTGGGGCAGTCAAAGCCAGACCACCCTTTACTGCAAGCTAAGCCACAATCAGAACCAGACTACCTCGAAGTTCTGGAAAAACAAACTGCAATCAGTCAGCTGTGAAGGGAAATCATTTACTACCCTATAGCATCAAAGGATATGCTCCAAACTGTTGGAAGCACTGCATTTGCTTTTGTTGTGTCCTCCCTTCCCCAGAGCTAATGGGAGACTGAAAGCGGTTGGGAAAAGGGGTGAAGCAATGATATTCCTTTAAATTATTTTTCTCTTGATCTCCCACCTCCACCCACACTTTTTAGGAACCATCAGTGAACATGAATGTTTCTACATTGCATTTTTTCATGTATATTATTTAGGTTTTGTTTCTGTTTTCTTTCTTTTCTTTTTCCCAGTGTGAGAGTAGAAAGAAATGGTAGTGAATGAAGGAATAGTAAGTAAAGTTTTCAAATGAGAATATTTTGTAGAAGATCTCCAAAGATCTTTTGGGACTGCAACTTCTTTTGTAAATAATGATCTATGTTATTGTCATCTTCAGTTACCAAGTATAGGCCTGGGCATCACTACTTTGTGTTAAAGTGCCTTTGCACTTAAGTATATTACTTAAATGTTGCTTTTAGCTTTGAAAATTAAAAGTATTTTAATGTGTTGTACTTTTAAAATCGAAATCAATGTAAAATAGATCTATGTGTCAGCTATATTAAGCCAACGTACAGTTTGCTTGAGTTATAGAAAACAGCCTGTCATCAGATGATTCTAGCTTAGGACATTATAGACTTAAATGTAAAATATTTCCTTTCTTTTGGGTTTGTTATAAGTGATTTTATTTAAGTCAAGAAAGAGGATTTAACAGTGGACTAGAGGTAATAAGCCACCTCTGTCGGGATTAGCAATTCATTAATAAAATATATTTAACCCAATATCAGAGTGAATTGAACAATTAATGCCCTTCCGTAAATCATTATTTTACACTAACATGGTCAATGTTTTACATTATTTTCCTAATTAAGAGTACATTACACAATTGTAGTATATTTTTCTGCATCAAATTAGATATTTTTATATATTTAAAGGAAAATCTGTATTTCTAACTTTTTAATTGAAATTAATATTTTTTCTGCCTATTGCAACATTTTCTATAAACACATACCAGTAGAGGCCGCCACACACCTCATTTAACCAAGACACAAGAGCTACTAAATACTTTGAAGGAAGAAGACTTTAAAGGTAAGATGAAAACTTCCCACGTAACTTCTCTGCAAATTCAAGACAGCAGAGATAAAATTGCATATGTTACATTTTATTTCTTTGAGGATCAAAAATTAGACACAAAATTCTTTTGAATTTTCACATTTTCTGACAAAGCTAGATTTTCCTCTTGACTTTAATTGAAGCGTTAATGAGGTGCTATCAAATCATGTACTATTTGCATCTCCAAATCCGTTAATAGTTACCGAATCCACAGCTGTAAGCATCTTTTTAAATTCTGCCTATTTTGGCATGCTTTACTTGAAAATTTTCTTGTTAGCTTGAGCAAACCTTTCATTTTGGTTTTAGCAGTCAATTATTTTAACTAACCAACTCTATATAACATTTATGAAGTCTTATTAGACTGTAAGTAATTTTTAGATGCAAACCTTATTGTATGATTTAAACAAACAGCCTTTCTTTACAACAAAAAATAGTTTTGTTTTGTCTATTGTAAATCCTTATGCAACTGGGATGGTGATCTGCATATAAAGTAGTCCAGCTTTTCAATTCCTTATTAAAGCAAGTGATGGCGTCTGAAAGAAGCACACTGTTTCCTTTTCATAAATAGGTTACTGCACATAATAATCCTTTATTATCATGTGGAGATTGAAGTGGATCCTGATAACTTACTTTTAAAGCTTTAAAATGACTAATAGTACATTACTACTATTAACAAATCATGTTACAGGCTTTCAATTAGAAATTACTTAAATCCAAATCATTTGGATTCATAATTAATGGTGCAAAATGGACTTTTTAAATAACAGAAGATAATTGTGTCCATATATAAAAGTAAAGGACACTGACTGACTTGTGTGTTCACTATTTGCTTAAAAGTCAAAATTGCCATTTAAATCCATTGACTCACAATTGAAAATGATGGGTCAATGTGATCTACACATATGCTAATAAAGAAATTTTACATTTCATACCATAGGAGCTAGAGTACTGAATTAGTTGGACATGGAGACAGTTCCTGGAAACCACCTCATCTTTGAGTGTTTATATATATATATATATATATATATATATATATATATATATATATATATATATATATATATACACACACACACACACATATATTAGAAGTTTTAAAAGTTGCTTAATGAAATAAACTTTACTTCTCATTCATTTTCATGATTTTTAAAGAGGCCTCCTGGAAGAACTCAAACCCACAAACTCTTTAGCTCAATAATTAATATTTACTTCAATATTTTCATGCTTCTAGATTTTTTTCTTTATTTATATTGATTTTTAAACTCAAATCTTTCAGGTGTGATCCAAATGGTTTCATTTAAAAGTATAATAGCACACTTTGTGTTTTAATCTTTACTGTCAAATGCAAGCATAAGCACTTCAAGTTTAATTAACTTATTGGCATTGCCACTGGTTATATTTTGATTTTCTTTATAAGCTCAAGCACTTTCAAACAAATTTTACTTTAAGATTTTTATTTTTAACTCCTCCAGCTTGATTTTTTTATTTCCCTTACTATTTTACAAGCACCTTGTAATGAGTGTGAGCCTAGCAGGAATGGTTCCAGACAAAGTAATAACATTCCTAGGATCCTGCCTGGAACAGAACTAGATGCCTGGCCCTACAAATGTCAAATAGCAATTACTCAAGATTTTAGTGTTTAATTAATTGCTTTCATGGATTCTGCATATACCAGTGGGTAAATTTGCACAAAATTCTCAAAAATACTCTTCCTCAACCTTGACACCATTGCCAAGAATGTTTGGTATGGACTTAGCCCAACCTGTGTGCCTTCTTTCCTCAGGCATTTGGTGAGTAAGAAAAAGACTCTTCAATGTTCTCTTTGTCCTCTGACATATAAGGTGACTTAATTTTTCTAAATAATTCTGTATAGTAAAGGGCTCAATATTTTACAGATTTTTAAAATATATGTAATGAATCAGAGATATTCTGCCATTTCTCAAACCCTGAAAACTTTATGATAGTACACATTACAGAAGCATACTAGATTGAATGCTAGAGTGAACAAGTCCTTCCAGATGGTTCTCTTACTCAATTTGTTTCATCATTAATTAATTAATTAAAGCACTCATCATCTTGAGTACTCTCTTCCCTGGTGCCCGGATCTACTGTGTGCTGAGGGGCCACAGATATATATTAGACAGGATCTCTAAATGCTTCATTCCAAGCCTTCACTCCTACTCCCACTGTTACTAAATTCCCTTCTCCCCACAGATCTCCCAAATTTGGCAAGGAGCTTAATACACAATAAAAGAGAGCTTTATTTTATTGAAAATCAACCCCAGGTAAGAAATGGGGACAATGATGCAATGCAGAAGGTTTAGTTCGTAAATTCTCTGGAGTAAAATATTGGACTGATAAATCATAAATAGACTGGTTACAATGTAAGTGCTATTAACACATCTTTTGAATTATGTACTTAAAAGGGGGAAAATCCCACTAATATAAAATAAATCACAGCAGATTTAGGCCCAGTGTTATGGCCTGATGATAGCTATATATTTGTGCTATCTACATCAACTTTGTAAAGTTGAATACCAAAATTGTAAATATAAAAAACACTGATATACTTCAGTTTTCTACAACATTCATGTTTTATAAGCAATATTTATTTTCTATTTTAGTGGCTTAAAGGGTAATCTTTCAGCTCACATGCCTTTTACCAACACAATGATAAGAGAATTATGTAAGAGAGATTGAAGTACTTTGTATAGGTCTACTTTGCTCCATATAATGGTTGTGTAAAAAGTAGTGTGTAAATTGAAGTTTTATAAACCAAATTTTATTTTAAGTGCATCAAGGGAGCTGCCATTTAAATAAAACGTGGGAATCTCCTTTGAGGCAAAAAAGTTTTATAATGCAAACAACCACTCTGTTTTGTATGTTTGGATTTTCAATATCAATTTTGCTTAAAACCAAGCTCACATGCATAAGAGTATGTTTTGTCAGTGTTACTTGAGCTATCCATTTCTTGGTTGCTAAGGGCTTATACTTGAAAGTCTGATGTAGTTTAATGTTAACTGAGCTATCTACAATTTTATGATGGCACAATAGCATTCCTGAACATCTGGACTAGCAAGCCCATTTCAATTCAATTGAACACTTGCTCAGCAGCATCTCCCCTCCCAAGACCTTGTTTCCTTAGAGGGTAGATTGACTCTTGTATTCATATCCTATAAAGTGCATAGAGATGCAGGTTTTATAAAAAATATGTTACTATGTAAACATACTGAAATGCATGTGTGTTAGAAATTTTTAGCAGTATTTTAGCTTGACAGTATCTGTACAAATTCTGTTAGACTTAGTTGCAAATAATTGTCCTCAAGTTACTGTAATAAATGGCAACTGAAACAATTTATTATGTAAATAGACTCTTGTGCCAAATAGTGACATTGTTTAAGAAAATAAATGACATATTTTGGGCTGTTAAGAGGCAAAATGAAATACTGAAAGTGTGATCAAATGATATTGTATTTTATTGGATAAGCTAGATAAGCTGTTTAGTTATTTCATGCTGTAGTTAGCTTTCAGTTAATAAATAAATATTCACTATTCACTAAAAACACACATTTTGGATTAGTTAGAAGTCTTTTTTCTTTTTCTTCATTTTTATTCTTTCTTTCTTTTTTTTTTTGATACAAAGTCCTGGTTGTCCTGGAACTTGCTTTTAGACATAGCTGGCCTCAAATTCACAGAGATCTGCCTGCCTATTCTTCCTGAGTGCTGGAATTAAAGGCTTGCACCACCACACCCAGCCCTAGTTTTTTGGAATCTTGAGAAGAATTAATGACAAATTTGAGAGCTGTCCTCTTTGCCTTGGTATATGCTGTCCCAGTGCTGGGAAATGAACATTTTTATTCTTTAAGTGATTATGTGTTTCATGTTTGATACAAAATAAGATTTAAAAATAATAATATTTCTCCATGAGTATTTGTTAGTATCATGCTTGAAAAATAAAAGCAAACAATAATCACAAAACAATTCAGATACATGTATCTCTAGGAGCTTAAACAATATTTACTGACTTTCCAGTCCCCATATCCAACACATATACTTCTACATTGAAATCTATTTTTCGTTGTATTTTTTCTAATGCTATACATGATCTGACAAATTCATATTTTATAAAGTAAAAGAATGAGTGACTTACACATAGAAATGCTATTAATTGTATTCCTTAAAATGAGATGAAGAGAAATGAGAAGATAGGAAGAGAGATATTAATTTGTTCCTGTGATTATGGTGCTATTTTGAAAGTGGCTACCTTGGCCAAAGTCTCAGCATATTTTCCATATATTCTTCATCAACAACTGTGTAACAGCCAAGGATTTGAGAATGCTGTGCTGGGTATGAAGACTTAAAGACAGATTAATTACCTTCTGTTGAGGTTGTTAATATATGTACAATATAGCATGAGTATTCATATACCATTTACAGGGTAGCTGAAACAATTGAAACATCCACATTTGAAAGTGTTTTGTTAAAGGATGAAAATTGGTGTTAGCACAGATTATCCAGTCACTGGTAAATATCAGGAAAAATATGTAAGTATCCATTAACAAGTCCATATGTGACAATTGAAACAGGAATAAGGCCATCAAGACAGATTTAGTTATTTCTGAATCTGGGCTGAAAGTGCATTTGATTTATGTTTCCCTGGGAAACAGCT